AATCCCAACCACTAGACCATTGTGATAAAAGGGCTTGTTTCAGTAGCGGGTCAGTGCGCCCATAACCCCCCAGGCAAACGCGCCTGTAACCCCCCCTAGGATCGATCGGGGATCTCACAGTGTAGCTCTACTGACACCCCCCCACACTTGGAGGCCCAGGACTGAGCACAGTGGCAACGGCCAACATATGCATACACCGGGATTCGAACCCGAGACCGCTCTGATACCATGTCAGAATCCCAACCACTAGACCATTGGGATAAAAGGGCTTGTTTCAGTAGCGGGTCAGTGCGCCCATAACCCCCCAGGCAAACGCGCCTGTAACCCCCCCTAGGATCGATCGGGGATCTCACAGTGTAGCTCTACTGACACCCCCCCACACTTGGAGGCCCAGGACTGAGCACAGTGGCAACGGCCAACATATGCATACACCGGGATTCGAACCCGAGACCGCTCTGATACCATGTCAGAATCCCAACCACTAGACCATTGGGATAAAAGGGCTTGTTTCAGTAGCGGGTCAGTGCGCCCATAACCCCCCAGGCAAACGCGCCTGTAACCCCCCCTAGGATCGATCGGGGATCTCACAGTGTAGCTCTACTGACACGAATCACCCTGCTGCCGCAGTATCTTCAGTTGTCTTGTTGCTGTGGCAAAATTCTCCTTGTTGGTGCTCCAGTTGTCGGCGCCCCTGGCAGTCTTGTCCAGACTCGCCGAGGCTTTTGTCGATATTCGCCGAGAAGTACCGGGCAGAGGCGAAAAACAGCTGCTGCTCTTCCCCCTTATGTAGCAACACTTCTTAATTGTTGTCACTGGTTCCCCCGAGCAGCTTCCGATTTGTACGGCTACACATTTGACGACGAGTGCCTTCGCGTGCTTAATCAAGCACCGCTGCAACTCCGCCGCCGGCACGGATATTGTTAGCGACCCCGCGGACTCCGTTAAGACTCATTCTCGGAACTGCTGAGTCCACCCGCAAATGTCGGAAATAACCACACCACGTAAAGTCTTGGTCGTCTGCAGGTTGTCCCCCGAAAGAACCGGTGTTTCTATCGCGCCCACCCGATCACCATTTTTTTCGTGCGGTTAACCACCCAAGCGACCCACCAACAGGAGGTGCTTTTTAGGCGTGGAACCCAGTACGTATGGGTCTTCCGAGGCCGATTTTCACGGACCCTAGCGCGCATCAACGCCGCAGATCTCGCAGCAGAACTCCCCCAGACTGCTTCGAAGTACACCAAGAAAACGCTTAAAACAGCTGGCGAGCAGACGTTCACCCGTCTCCCACCGTCGAAGTTGCACCCGAAAATCATGGTTGAGGAATCAAGCCCCGAAGTATTTTCTGCCTTGTAGCCCCGACATTTCCGCCGTTAGCCCTGGTACTCCGACGTTTACCCATCTTCGTACCTGTCGAAAATACTTAGCAAATCCCAGGCATCCTTGGCAATACACCCCTCGTCGCGCCTCCATGTAACGATATCAAACCCTTTCGAAGGTCTACCAAATAAACTCTGAAATTCGCAGTGGAGTGGTATACGAGCTCCGCCTATCACTCAGGTAGCTTGAAACAGCACCCACAACTTTCCCTCCTTTTTTGTTTTGCTTTCGCCCCCTGACGATTTCGCATGCCGCCGTTCACCCAACGTCCGCTTATGTCGGATGAGACATTCTTCGTGTTGACCCGCGATTTTTCTGGCGTTCAATGAAGGCGCGAACACAATCGTAGCCGGGGTGAGTTTATCGTATCAAACGCCCGCCCGGCCGCTTCGCTACCCACCATGCCTATCGCACTTAAAGACTCCACAGCTTCGGGAACTCCATCTCCGCTGCTACACCGCCGTTGGGTAGACCGTTGAATCAGGAGAAACACCGACAGCTGCCACAATTTCCTCAATCCCGACTTTTTCGGCAGGGTAACTGTCGCCGATGGTCCGTTTTTGTCGGGGCCGAACAGTGTCGCACCACAAACTGTTTTCTTGTACGCCCTGCCGTCGAACCAGCGCCACCCACGCCTTTCTAACCAGCACAGGGCTAAAACACAGGGCCCCACCTTTTTATCCAGTAGCCAACAGGAGTTACGAATTGCCTTCGAGGCTTTTCTGGTGTAAGGTATGTGAAACGTCGGTAGACTTGGCCGGTAGGGAGCTCCTTCTGCTACCGCCGCTTAGCCGTGAGACTCGGCCTTAGCAAAAGTCGTCGCTGTAGGTCGTTTTTCTCGCCTCCTGAAGTCGGAACCCGTTTCTCTCGCCGGACCCGTATTAGTCGCAACTCCGTTTATTGTAGCCGGTAGAGCCCCCGAAAATCGCGGGTCTAAACGCTGCGCCGAATCGTTGTTCCGTGGTGTACTGGGTTGTCTGCAAACACAGGTACCTCTGGCCGGAGGGAACTGTGCCGCGTGAAGTGCAGAATCGGCTGCCACTGTTGCTCCGAAATTTTCGCCGATTATGATTGTGCCAGAAACAGTAGTCACCCAAGCCGGAACAGTCTGGTCGTAGGCGGCCTTTTCCGAACTTTTCGGTGGTTTGAAGAACAACTTCCGTCCCACACTGTGCCGCTCTGCCGAAAAACGCCCACGACGCACCCTCCTGCAGCAACACCTGCCGCACCCGGGCGGGACGACGGTAGACCCCCGCTTTCTTCGGGAAGTCGCCACGCCGCCTCTCCTCGCCGTCGGTTTTTCCGACGCAAATCACACATTGCGCCTGGCTGCTCGACAAGCAGTCGTTTTCCACGTGCTGCTACCCGAAATCTTCGCGCACAGTGACGACGCGCCACTTGCCGAAGACTTCCACTAGCTCGTGCGCAACGTGACGAAGACACCCATCGCCACTTGCCGCCCGCAGCTAGCTCCGTAATTGTCGCGCGCAGCTGTCGACCACGTGTAGACACAACTCGCACGACGATCTTGCTTCCGACAACTTCGGACGTGCGCCGACGACGAGCCTGCCGACGTCAGCCGCTACACAGCATTAACTCCGAAATTGCCGAAAACGACTACTGTTACTCACGCATTAATTGCGACGACAGCAAAAGCTGTTCGCCACCCGGGGGGAGGGAGGCCACGGTCCATCTCGACCGTCGAGGGCAAGGATCCGTCGGTGCCGCAGGAGCGCCTTGGAATTCATGGCCGCTAGGAGCAACTACCCGTTCTCCTGGCCGGCTCTTGCGCTGCCCCTGTCACCACGGCATCCTTCCCTGTCCCCCCCCCGAGGGGTATTACACTCTAAAAAACGGGGAAGCTAGGAAAGTAGCTCTGATACCAAGTGTTATGAGTTTTAATAGACAGAGTGCGCGGAAGCCTTTATAATAAGGATGTCGAATACAGAATTACTGAATCCCCAACAATGATAAAGGAGCACGCATTTTTAGGGTCGAAACCGTGCTAGGCGAGGACCTCGGGACGTGGATGGTTTGGATGTGTCGCGATTGGTGCGGGGCGACTCGGTATTGGTTCGTGTCAGAGTTATATTATTGTAACTGCATGTAGATATAGCAGTAGTGTAGTTATCACATTCTGTTTGGTGGATTACCCCCTTTCCTATCATATTTGTACCCTTAGCTCTATAGTGAAGTCCTCTTTTCATTGCCAACTCTCTCACACTCCACCCCCAACATGGCTCCTAAGGCTACACCCTAGCTACATATCTTGACATGGTACAGAGCAGGAATCCCTCCTGAGGACCTATTTTTTTTTTTTTTTAATGATCATGGGCCCACCCGTCGTGCCGCCCGTAATGCGCCCCGCGGGTCCCCCGAATCGCCCCGTGGACGAACCCCGCGGGTCCCGTTTTTCGCTTTCTGCAGGCCCTTCGTTTCGCGTCGCGCCCGTGCGCCCTTTTCGTCCGTCACGCTCCCCCCGTCGCCCCGCGATCCGCCTTCGCCAGCGCGGACGCCAGCGCCACGGCCAGCCGCGAGCGCCAACGCTGCAGCCAGCCGCGAGCGCCAGCGCCTGCGCGGACCGCCAGCGCCACCGCCAGCAGCTGCGACGGCCGCCAGCGCTAGCGCCAACGCGACCGCCAGCGCCGGCAGTGGGTGATTCCGCCCTTCCCTTCCATCGTGGGGGGGGGGGTTGGGGGGAGGGGGCGGGTGTGAGGAGCCTGCCGCTCCTCCCTCCCTTCCCTCTTCCTCTCTCCCTGCAGCAATTGTTGCTGAGGGGGGGGGGGGGGAGAGAGGGTAAGGGGGGATAAAGGAGGGTATGAGAGAGAGTGGCAGAAGCAGCAGCCCTGCATTTGCAACTGCCACCCCCTGCTCCTGTGGCACCTCCAGCTGCAGCCCCTGTTGCCACTTAATTCGTCTCTTTCGTTTGCTGCTGTTGAGCGGCAGGTGCTGCCGTTGAGCCTGCTGTGCCGCCGCTTGTTGCCGCCGCACGCCGCTCTCCAGGCGACCTGCGCCACATGCACCTTTCTTTCGTTTTTGTATTGGCTAAGGGGTTTCTGCTGTTGTTTCTGCCACTGCTGCACAGGTTGTCATTGCTCTTGCGTGCTAATGCTTTCAGTACACTTGCGGGTTGTGATTTATGCTTTGCTATTCCTGCATGCAGTTAAGGGGGGATGTCAGAGTTATATTATTGTAACTGCATGTAGATATAGCAGTAGTGTAGTTATCACATTCTGTTTGGTGGATTACCCCCTTTCCTATCATATTTGTACCCTTAGCTCTATAGTGAAGTCCTCTTTTCATTGCCAACTCTCTCACACTCCACCCCCAACATGGCTCCTAAGGCTACACCCTAGCTACATATCTTGACAGTTCGGTGCGGAAATGTAGGCTGAGCCACCTGACGCGAAGTGCTCGGGCTGTTCCCGTTAAGGCAAGGCTACAGTAAGGAATTGGCAAATTCCTTACAATATATGCCAATCTTGGTGGATCTTATTCTGGACATAAAGAAGCACAGTGGGAATCATTTGGTCTGGTTCTCTGACGATACTTGCTTTCGAGAACACTCTTCACTGAGCATACAAAAATGTAGGATGCAATTATAGCTGGATAAGGATCAGAATTCAGGACTTCGAAGCAAGAATTGATGACAAAATAGCAGCCATGCTCTGAGCTTCCTCTGAGCCTCCTTTTCCCTTATCAGACCCCTTCCCGTTCGAACTTCCCCCTTCACCACCACCGCTTAGCAAAGCAGCATCCAAGCTGAGCTTCCGCTGGGCAATATTCAAAATGCCCTCATCAACTGTGGCACGTGCCACAAGCCTGGAACCGTGGGGGAAGGACGAGGCACAGAGCTAAATATATTAAATTCTAACATAACACAGCATGACCAAAATAGGCAAAAAAGGGCCAGAGAAACATCAACGAGTAACTGCAAGTTACTGTACCACTCACACCACAATGCTGGAAATGAGAACAACGTTCAGTTTCATCGTCACAACTCCCTGCACGACGGTTACAACTCACCAAATGATGGCTACAGCTCACCGCACGACAGTTACAGGTCGAGTCTGGCCTATCCGGTGGCACCTGTCCTCCGCCTGCCGGTCCATCTGGGGGTTAAAATCCACGTCGTGCAGAATCACCGTGTCTGCCCCGGTCAGGTTCAAACCTTGCCCGCCTGCCCGGGTGGAAAGCAGCATCGCAAACACCGAGGGGTCCCGATTGAACTCATCCACCAGGGCTTGCCTCTGTACCACCTGCGTGCTGATGTGTGAGCAAAAAGGATACGGCATAAGAGGAGTCGGGAAGAGCGTGTCATGGTGGCAAGCAGCATGGAGTGGCAAACACCGAGGGGTCCCAATTGAACTCGCCCATGAGGGCCTGCCTCTGTACCACCTGCGTGTAGAAAGTGAAGTTTTGAGACGTCTCAAAAACTCTGCACCACCTGCGCGCTGGTTGTGGGGGGGTTGGGGGAGGGGAGGAGGAATGGGTGGACGGAAGGGGAGGGAGTGATGGCATGGCACTGGCATGGTACTGGCATGGTACTGGCATGGTACTGGCATGGAGTGGTGTGGCCAACACCGAGCGGTCCTGCTTGCACTCGTCCACCAGGGCTTGCCTCTGCGCCCCCGCCCACTCATTCCTACCACCAGTACGCCTCCCCCTTATGATTCTCACAAACGACTCACCTGCCATCCAGTCTAAGGAAGGTCAATCCGAGCAGCCCCATCACGTGTTGCAGAATGTCAAGCACAGCCGTCCATTGGCTGAACAGCAGCACACGGTGACCGTCGGATTTCAGCTGGGGAAGGAGCGTTGAGAGAGCCTGTGAGAGGAGAGGGGCAGAAGAAAAGAAAGGAGGTTAGGTTAGAGAGATATTGGTTTGCAATCCAATCCAATGCGGTGCGGAGGGTGAAATGAGGAGGACGAATGGACTAGGCAGAAGAGGAGGCAGAGAAGTCATCACACTTCCGTCACATCTGAATTTTCACCAGGACTCGAGAAATTTTCACCTGCGTTGTCCCCTCCCCTCGCATCCCCACAGCAGCCCCACATGGCACTTGCAGTGGTGAGCAAAGCGTTCCAAGCGTTCCCCTCTTCCCCCCTCTCCCACTCCCCCAAACGAAACCTCACCAGTTAGCCACTGCCCTCTCACTCAAAGCAGCCCCATCTGGCACTTGCACGAGTGAAAGAAGTGATCCCGGTAGGGCAGGAAGCGTGAGAGGGAGTCCTGCGAGACACCCCCCAAGAAGTTGAGTTCTTTGAGAATTCTCAAAAGTAAACCCAAAATAAACCTCACCAATTGTTCCTTGCCCTCGCACCCCCATCCATACCAGCCCCACCTGGCATCCCCACCACACCCACCTGGCACTTGCAGGAGTGGAAGAACTGATCCCGTGAGAGCAGGAAGTGCGAGAGTGCGTCGCTGTGGGCGGCACACAGCTGGTTGAGCGGGAAGTCGCTGTAGCCCCTCAGCTCCTCCCCCAAACCCACCTTTTCCTTCCATGCAACAATATCCTTCCCCACACCCACCTGGCACTTGCAGGAGTGGAAGAATTGTTCCCGTGAGAGCAGGAAGTGCGAGAGTGCGTCGCTGTGGGCGGCACACAGCTGGTTGAGCGTGAAGTCACTGTAGCCTCGTAGCTCCTCCTCCACGCGCTGCCACGTGCACTCCCCGCCAAAAACGCCCCTCCCATGCAGCACAACCGCCATCTCGTCCACTGCTGCGTCGGAGAAGAGGCGGCGCACCAAGAGAGGGTGGTTGGCGAGCTGTGTGGGGGAGACGGAGGGAGAGGGAATAGGGACGGGGAAGGGCATGAGGGGAAACACGCCCCTCCCGTGCAGCACAGCTGACATCTCATCCACTGCTTCGTCGGAGAACAGGCGGCGCACCAAGAGAGGGTTGTTGGCGAGCTGTGGGGGGAAAAGCGGAAATGGGGATGGGACACATGGGGGATTGGCCATGGAAAATAGGAACCTGCACAGGGGAAGGGAAAAAACGGGGAAGTCGCTGTGGCCTCGTAGCTCCTCCTCCTCCACGCGCTACTGCGTGTTCTTGAGAATTCTCAAAAACACTCTGCAACATCATGGCCTCGTAGCTCCTCCTCCTCCACGCGCTACTGCGTGCACTCCCTCCCCAAACACGCCTCTCTTGTGTAGCATCGCAGCCATCTCGTCCACTGCCGTGTTTTTATGAGAAATCTAGAAAAACGAAATTGTAAAAAAAACGAAAAGAAAAGAAAAGAAAGAAAGAAAGAAAGAAAGAAAGAAAGAAAGAAAGAAAGAAAGAAAGAGAGAGAGAGAGAGAGAAAAAAACGATTTTTTATAAAAACCCAAACACGCCCCTCTTGTGCAGCACCCTGGCCATCTTCATCCAGTGCTTAGGGTTTAGGATCACACCCAAAAGCAGCCGCACCAATAATGAAGGCACACCCACCTTTCCACCACCCAACCCCCCACCACTCAACCACTCCACCAGCTGTACCTCCACCAGTTGTACCTCCACCAGTTGTACCTCCACCAGTTGTACCTCCACCAGTTGTACCTCCACCAGCTGTACCTCCACCAGCTGTACCTCCACCAGTTGTACCTCCACCACTTGTACCTCCACCAGTTGTACCTCCACCAGCTGTACCTCCACCAGTCATACCTTCCTCAGGTGGGTGAAGATGCTCGCCAGCTGTCTCCTCGGCATCGCATCCACCGCCGCTGCCACAGCAGCCGTGCCGCCCTCCCCTTCCCCTCCCCCCTCTCCCTCTTCTTTCGACTTCCCCTCTCTATCTCCCCCTCCCGCTCTTGCCGCCACTGCCCTTCTGTACTGCTCCACAGCCTCATTGTATGCTGTTGCCTGCTCGCCCTCCATAGGCAGTAGCTCGACCTGCCAATAACGAGGATGAAGATTGGCAGGGGAGGATACAGCTTAGCATGTTACTGCCCTTCCATCCATCCACTTGGGATTAGCATTGCACAACAAAACCACACCCATGCACACCCATGCACACCCATCCACACCCCTCTCACTCTCACCTCCTGTACTTTCGCCACCAGCTGTTTCATCACATCTGCCTTCACTTCCCGCAGCACAAACCAGCCCACCTACACCCATTCACACCCATCCCCACCCACCCGCCTCTTACCTTCTGCACCTTCGCCACCAGCTGTTTCATCACATCTGCCTTCACCCGCCGCCGCACAAACGGGCCCAGAATTGCCTTCATGCGCCCTATGAGCCCCCGGTCCACTGCCCTCCCCCTCCCTATCAGCCCCTCATCTCATCTGCTGCCCCCACTCCTCCCCCCTTTCTCACCTTCTGGACCTTCGCCACCAGCTGCTTCATAACGTCCGCCTTGACTCTCCTTAGAACAAACGGCCCCAGAATGGCCTTCATGCGCCCTATCAGCCCCTCATCTGCTGGCCCTCCCCCTCCTCCCCCCTTCTGGGACGGCTGGTCCCTCTTGCCCAGATACTCTGCTATGTCGCACTGATGGGCCGTGAATATGGCCGGCATGAGGAACTCTAGCAGCGACCAGAGCTCCTGGGAGGGGTGAAGGGGAAGGGCAGGGCAGCAAGAAACACGCAAGAAGTGAACCCTGGGGTGGAATGAAGTAGTTATCACCCTGTACGCCTGGTGGTCCCGCTTGCCCAGGTGCTCTGCTATGTCGCACTGGTGGGCGGTGAATATGGCTGGCATGAAGAATTCCAGTAGCGACCAGAGCTCCTGGGAGGTCAAAGGGGAGAGAGGAAAGCAGGAAATGCGAAACAAGTGAACAAGAGAGCATGAGTCGATAATCTGCTGCTTGTCCAGCTGCCGCAGCATCATCACTCGCTGGCTGCTCCCGTCCTTGAGCAGGTGCGCCTCGTCCGTCCATCCCACGTTGTGTGCTAATTTCATTCCACATAACATCATTCATCCAGCCATTCTCACCTGAAGGTCGTTCTGCAGGGGCGTGCCGGTCAACATGAGCCGGTAATCCGCAGCCTGTGCCAGCTGTCGCAGTTTCATGGCCCGCTGGCTGCTCCTGTCCTTGAGCAAGTGCGCCTCGTCCATCAAAACACACGAGAACCGGAACCTGCGCAGAAACTTCCGGTCGTCCCTCTGGGCGGCACTATCCCTCTCAAACAGCGAGTAGCACGTCAGCAACACATCAAATCCCATCTTCCCCCCTTCCTCCTCCTCCTCCTCCTCCCCCTCCCCTCCACTACCCTCTCCCCCTCCTTCTGCCTTCTTCCGCCTCTCTCGCCGCCTCTCCTTCTTCCCCTTCTTCCCTTTCTTCCCCTTCCCACCATAGAGCTCCCGCAGCGCTGTCCTCTGCCCGCCATGGTACAGCACCACCCTTAGCTGCGGGCACCAGAGCTGCAGCTCGCGCTGCCAGTTGTCAAGGAGGGAGGCTGGGGCTACGACTAAATGGGGTCCAGGGTTGTTGTCCAGGTGACCGAGCAGCCCCAGCAGCACCACCGCCTGGGGGAACGGAGGAGCAGGGTTAGGGGGATGGGGAGGACGGGGAGTGGGGAGAATGGGGAGTGGGGAGGAAGGGTCAGACGGGTGCAGGGGTGCATCCTCAGCTCCCGCAGCGCTCCCCTCTGACCCCATGGTACAGAACCATGCACAGGGGCGGGCACCAGATAGAAGTTGTATTTTGAGACGTCTCAAAATGCATCCTCAGCTCCCGCAGCGCTCCCCTCTGACCCCATGGTGCAGAACCATGCACAGGGGCGGGCAACAGATAGAAGTTGTATTTTGAGACGTCTCAAAATGCATCCTCAGCTCCCGCAGCGCTCCCCTCTGACCCCATGGTACAGAACCATGCACAGGGGCGGGCACCAGATAGAAGTTGTATTTTGAGACGTCTCAAAATGCATCCTCAGCTCCCGCAGCGCTCCCCTCTGACCCCATGGTACAGAACCATGCACAGGGGCGGGCACCAGATAGAAGTTGTATTTTGAGACGTCTCAAAATGCATCCTCAGCTCCCGCAGCGCTCCCCTCTGACCCCATGGTACAGAACCATGCACAGGGGCGGGCACCAGATAGAAGTTGTATTTTGAGACGTCTCAAAATGCATCCTCAGCTCCCGCAGCGCTCCCCTCTGACCCCATGGTACAGAACCATGCACAGGGGCGGGCACCAGATAGAAGTATTTTGAGACGTCTCAAAATGCATCCTCAGCTCCCGCAGCGCTCCCCTCTGACCCCATGGTGCAGAACCATGCACAGGGGCGGGCACCAGATAGAAGTTGTATTTTGAGACGTCTCAAAATGCATCCTCAGCTCCCGCAGCGCTCCCCTCTGACCCCATGGTACAGAACCATGCGCAGGGGCGGGCACCAGATAAAAGTTGTATTTTGAGACGTCTCAAAATGCATCCTCAGCTCCCGCAGCGCTCCCCTCTGACCCCATGGTACAGAACCATGCGCAGGTTCGGGCACCAGCGCTGCAGCTCACGCTGCCAGTTGTCGAGGAGCGAGGCAGTAGCTAACATTTGGACAAGGGTTGAGAAGGTTGGGGCACCAACATATGAAATGAGCCAATCAAAAAGGAAAAGCAGCCAAGTCGGTTGATTGAAAAAGCAACCACACAATCAAGCACATTCGGTCAACTGATTTTGAAGTCGAGGAGCTGTAGGACTGTGAGGTTGCTGTGCTGCTGGATATGCACAGCACAGCTCTCTTGGAGATTATGGTGCAGTGTTTAAAAAGTACAAAGGGCAGAGGTTTTTGGAAGCCCAACTCAGCTGGATAAGTTGCGGCTTCCAAAAAAACTATGCCTTTGTACTTGTTGAACACCGCCCCATAATCATTAATGTCTGAAGTCTAGGTTTTAGGTTTGAGGTCCAAGGATGACCGTTCACCTGCACAGTCTTGCCGAGGCCCATTTCGTCCGCAAGAATTGCTGCAAACAATCAACACAAACCAAGACACAGAGTCATAGAAAATAGGGTTCAATTTCATCATTATTGCACACAACCAGCGAACGAACACAAAACAGGACACAGAGCTCCGAGTCAGAAAACGATTAAAAGGAAATGAAAAGAAAAGACGGAGGAGAGCACCAGAATTTAGAAAACGATATGCGAGATATACATTCCTTACCACACACCTTCAAAAAACACCACTCACCTTCCCCAACCTTCTGTCGGTACAGCAGCAGCAAAAGTTCACGCCCACCAGCTGAAGGGGTACCAGCAGCAGCAGCAGCAGCAGCAGCAGCAGCAGGAAGTTAATGCCCACCAGTGGTACCTCTTCAGTTCAGCTACACGCTCTTTCAAGCCCACACGTTTCAAACAGCATTCGCGTTCTTCTTGCACCGCTGCTTACCCCTCAAAAACCACCACTCACCTCCTCCAACCTTCTGTCGGTACAGCAGCAGCAGGAAGTTGACTCCCACCAGCTGATACCCCTTCAGCTGCACGACGCCTCAAGACTCTGATACATTTCTGCCTCCCAACAGCACACTCACTTACCTCCTCCAACCTTCTGTCGGTACAGCAGCAGCAGGAAGTTGACTCCCACCAGCTGGTACCCCTTCAGCTGCACGCTCTCCCCACACGCCGCCGACACATCGTCCTGCGATATCAGCCTCGCCGCCGACTCATCCGTCTCCGCATAACCCCCTTCCAACCCCCGCTTCCCCTTCTCCCCCAACCCCCCCATCTCCCCTTTTTCCCCCTGCTTTCGCCCAGCAGACAGCAGCAGCTTCTGCTTCAGTGCTGCAGCGATCTGCTCAGACTTTCTCAGAGCCTCCAAAACAGGATCGCTCTCTTCTTCCTTCTTCTCTCTGTAATCTCTCCCCCCCTCCCCTCCCTCCTCTTCCTCCTCCTCGTCCTCCTCATCCTCCTCTGCCTCCTCCTCCTCCTCCCATTCCTCCAAAGACCTCCTCCCTCTTACAGCCGCCCTGCCTGCTGCTCTCACACTCCTCCTCGTCACCACCACCTCCTCCTCTTCCCCCTCCTCTCCCCCTCCACCCCCTCCTCCGCCTCCTCCTACTCCTCCTCCCCCACCACCCTCCCCCCCTTCTCCCCACTCCTCCCCCTCCCACTCCTCGCTCTGGGCATACCTAGCCGGCCTTCTAGCCCGCCCCGACCTCCTCACCCACTCATCCTTCTTCTGCTTCCCCTTCGTGACCCTCCTTCCCCTCCTACCAAACACCTCCTCATCATCATCCTCTTCCTCTTCCAGCTCTAACCCCTCTAACTCCTCGATTTCCTCCTCTATCTCCTCTTCGATATCATCCTCCACGATCCAATCATCCTCCTCATCTTCCTCCTCATCCTCATCCTCCCACCGATCCTTCCCCGATTTCTTCCCCTTCTTCCCCTTCCCCTTCCCCTTCCCCTTCTCCTTCCCCTTCCCCTTCCCCACCCCCCTTCCCCTTCCCCGTCCCCGTCCCCGTCCCCGTCCCCGTCCCCTTCTCCTCAACCGCCCCTGGGTCCCTAGCGGAGCGCCAGCCCTTGCTGGGGGCGTGCAGCGCCAGCAGGCGCGCGCGCAGCTCATCCCTCTCCGCCCTCTGCACAGCCGCGCTGCTGCTGGGGGGCATCTGCGCACCCGTCTGCCCAGGGGCGATCTGCGGACCCCCATGGATGGGACCGCCCTGGGGCTGCCGCACTCCAAAGAACCTCCTCGCGTTCACAGTGGCTGCATCATCCGCTCGTTTGAAAGGTGAAATCTTCTTCTCCTCTCCCCACTCCTCCCCTCCCTCTTCCTCCTCCTCCTCTTCATAATCCCCATCACTGCCATCACTACACAGAACGATCTTTCGCCTCTTCCTCTTCCCCTGCATTCCCCCATCACCGTCTCTTCCCACCTCCGTTCCTCCTCCACGGGACGACTCTGTCAACATCCCTGCACGCCCAAAACCCTCTCCCTCTCTTCTCCCCTCACTTTCCCCAACACTAAACCCCTCTATCTCATCCTCTACCTGATCACTCCTCATCTGATCCACTCCAGGGGCGGCGGCGGTCGCACTACCGGCCAAACCTCCCCGCCCACCTTTCTGCAGCCTGCGAAACCCGTCTCTAGCTACACCTTCCCCATCGCCCGCTACCCTGCCGCCCAGGGGCCCTGTCCGCGCTCTATCCCCGTTATTGGACGCTCCAGTAGCAGCAGTAGTGCACGACGTATCCTCACGAGCGCTTAACTCAGCTGCGTTCGCGTTCAGCCGCCTGGGAACACGGAAGGGCCCCATTACAAGCGGCTGCTGCCGCTGCTGCAGCTGGGACGCTCGGCTAGAGAACGACACAATGCTCTTACCTGACGGGTTACCAGCACTGCCAGCAGCAGAGGCACCACCACCAGCAGTAGCGCCAGCAGGACCAGCAACACCAGCAGCAGCACCGACAGCAGTAGCGCCTCCCTTTTCCCCTACCTCTCCCCCTTGAGACTGCCGGCCAAGCAGGCGAGACCGCGGCTTGAAGCTCGACAGGCTCTGCAGGCGGCGAGTGTGTGCGAACGAGTCAATGGACGGCAGCGGAGGCGACACTAACGCGGACGAACCTCCGGGTCCCTTTCTTTTCTCGTCGCTTTCATTCCCCTCCTCACCAGCACCCGCACCACCGGCAGCAGCACCACCACCAGCAGCAGTAGCACGGTCGGGTTGCAGGACCGGTTTCGTCAGCTGATGAAGCGGTTTGATCTTGAGGGTTCGTCTGGGAATCGCCACAGGCTCTGTGCTGTTACTGCGAGCGCCGTTGCCTGCTTTCCCGTTACTAGCACTCCCGTTAGTAAGCATCCCATTTACAGATCGCACACGATCTGACGGCATACTGGCGTCTTGCCCAACGCTCGCCCCCGTAGGGGAATCTTGAGTTAAAGCCCTCCCTTTTCCCACGGAACTATTACCGGCCACTGAACTTTTCTGCTGCCCAAAAAAACGGCTGCCGATAACACCTTTACGCGTCTGCTGAGGCGGCACTTCTTCTTGCGGCAGCTGCTGCGGTTCGTGGGCATCCCGAAATTCCATCTCCGCGAGCTCGTTATTGTCAGGTTCGATATAGTCGTCCAACGGACCCAGAACCCTGGCTCCCTCGATTCGCACGGGGCCACCGTCTGTGTCCAGATCTGGTGAATCTGACGCGCACTGGAACGCGGCGGAAAACGACTCCGCGACGGCCGCCGTTGACGGCGGAAACCCGCCTAGACCTCGATACATGTTGGAGTCGATTTATCAAATCCTCAAATACGTAATAGAATTGCTTTCTAGAATTCCGCAAGAAGAACTCGATGGGGTAACATGCCCTGTAGTAAAAAAGTGAGGGCTTCGAATTAAGGTAACCTAAAAATGGGACTGTTGCAACGGAGAGTATGTGGTTGGGGTTCAGGTGAACGTAAGGCTCGCGAGGTTTCAAGCGAAACAAGCTGTCCGAGGTTTCGGTGAGGAATCAGGAGAAGGTCCAAACCTTCAGGCTTTATTTAGTAACGCAAACAATAATCTAACGGTTCGGCGCATGTCAGTGACTCAAAAGTCTCGCAGGGTGAAGTGATTTGGCGACTACTCATTGATAAATGTTGTTCGGGAATCTAGCCGTGACGCGCAACAGTATACATGCTACGACGCGTTAGCTCGCACCTAAACCGGCGGACCAGATCACACGAATTCAAACCGATCGTGTTTGGCGACCTGCGGGGATCGCTACGAGTGCACTCTTTTGTATCTCGTTGCCTCGTCAGGTTTCAACTAAGCAGCGAACTTTCCAGATTCTACAAAGGCACGGCCGCGCATCAGGTGGAACTACACACTACAACTAGGTTCGGATCCAAAGCGAATGGCAAACGCGTTCTGCCTACTAGTCTGGAGCAAACTGGAGAAAAGACTGAAAGCCAGACCACCCACCACATACTGCACCAACACCCACCATGAAGCTGATGCTGCTCAACTTAACTAAAAAACCCGACCCAACCTGCTGATGTCTAGACGAACCGCTCATAACCGTATTAGATTCTGCACTGGATTGACGAGTTTCCACAGCCACACAACAACAGTTTGCTTGGCAAAATGGTGATAAGGATCCAATTCAGAGCCTAGTTAGAGACGGACGGCTACGACCCTCGAAATTTGCGCGAGAGAATTTCTCCAGTGGCCATTCGGGTGATTCATCCTCTCTCGGGGGGCCTCGAATTACTCGAGTGGCCACGAAATTGGGTGATAATTACTCGAGTGGCCACGCCAGGGGATTCCTGCTCGCTTTGTTTTCACCGGCGCATTACCCTACGGGTCTTTGTAGCCCCGAAATTCCTTATTCGTGCGAGTGGTATCCCTAGGTGGTGTTCCGTACCTTAAAATTTCGCCAGGCTCACGGACGCGAAAGTGGCCCGCCCACTGTATAAGAAACCGACCAAAAGTACATTGACCGGTCAGTTTCGGCCAAATGCGCGACCAATGAGCGCGCGGTCCATCTAATTAACATCCAATCAGCGATCGAGTATATGACTTCGCGATCATATACTGCATTTCACCCGAAACGAACCGACACAGCAAAACGACCGCGCTCGATTGGTCAGGAGATAGATTGGTGCATTTGTTGCCACTGCGCGTCTAATCAGGCGCAAGATTTACCGATTGCCGATCATATTTGAATGCGTTCATTAAACACAATTTACTATATGGCTGTATGGGATTTAAGAGTATGTTTTATATGCACCCTAAGCACACAAACTTGGACAAATCATATGCGCACTAATATTTGTTAGTGCGCGGTCCTATTTTATATATGGTTGCCATTTCATTTGGACGGGGATAATTGGACGCTCAATGGCAAAGCATATCCTGAGATTAAAACAAACCAATCACGCGCGGTAATTTAGTTTATCGCGAATTTATGGCCGATCATTTCGGTATATGATGGGGAATTCAATGATGGCGCCTGATTGGACGCTCAATGGCAACATATGCACCGCGCATGTTTTTTACGAATCATGCGCGTGCATTAGGGGTGTGGCTGTTCGCTTCGGGTCTATAGGATTATATGATCGAGAAGTTATATGCTCGATCGCTGATTCGTTCGGAATTAGATGGACCGCGCGCTCATTGGTCGCGCATTTGGCCGAAACTGACCGGTCAATGTACTGTTGGTCAGTTTCTTGTACAGTGGGCGGGCCACTTTCGCGTCCGTGAGCCTGGCGAAATTTTAAGTTGCGGAACAGAACGGAACACTACCTAGGAATACCACTCCCACGAATAAGAAATTTCGGGGCTACAAATCCCCATAGGGTAATTCGCCGGTGAAAAAAAAGCGAGCAGGAATCCCCTGGCGTGGCCACTCGAGTAATTATCACCCAATTTCGTGACCACTCGAGTAAATCGAGGCCCCCCGAGAGAGAATGAATTACCCGATTGGCCACTGGAGAAATTCTCTCAATTTGCGCCTTCTTCCCGCCAAAACTTGTACTCCTCGTTGGGGACCTCGTGAGTAGGATTAGCAGTTGAGCTCATGAATCAGCACATGTGTTCAACCATAAGCGTTTGGTTGGACTCCCAACCTGCTAACTTTAGTTAGGGATAAACATCACAACGAAGGATGCTAAACAGACTTGGTAATCTTCAAGAATGCAAAAACAAAAGTATGCAAGGGAAGAATGCATGCACCAATCAAGGGATGGACTACATTACTCATTAAAGGTTGCTTTACATAATTGACTCTATTGGCATCGAGTGAAGCAATTTGTTGCACACCACACATTTTTCCCAGTGGAAACACAAGTCTCTATTCTCAAGTCTTCCCTCCAGTTCCACCACACGCACCTCACAATTGTTGGAAATAATCGAGCTTAAGCGCCCCTGTCGTGTCGAAACACCAAGGCACAAGCGAAGCAAAGCATATCGAGGCACCAGCGAGTCAACTCTCGGAGGTTGAAGTAACTGCTGGAGGTTACGCGAAAGTCAAATGTCAGTGACCTTTGACCTGGCAAGTACAGCGCGACAGCAAGGACACACAACTGACTCGCTACAGAGCAGTTGCCCGAGTCGTCACTGTATCGAACCGCACCGCAACAGCAACAGGAAAGTAGTTATAACTGTATCTCTTCATATTCCTTGCACTCATATATAATCCTGTATCTCTTTGCTTTAATTAATCGACTTTGCCCTCACATAATAGCGCAAGGTGGTTCACAATTCTTCACTAAACGCTTCCGCTATTACATTAGTCCTACCCAGAGTTCACCCATGCAAAGATCCTAAGGGCTTTTTCAGCCCAACATGGTATGAGAGCTATCAGGGGGAATTCAACTATCAAAACACCTACAACATCAGAAGACATGGCTACTCAGAAGGAAAGGAGTTCCTCTATTGGTTCTCCCGGCACTACTCCTACTCCACCTCCCGCCTCTGGCCTACAGACAGAGGAGGGTACGGCAACAAGACCCAGGGCAACATCCAACGAGACTCCTGCGGATCAACCTGCAGGCTTCGACCAGAGCATGATGGAGAAATTTTTCTCCTTCATGTCCTTCTACGAGCAACACCAGCAATCGGTACCTGCGCAGTCACACAACAGCAACAACAACAACGACGTGACTCCAATGAGTCTTGACGGTTCATCCTACGCACGAGGAAATCAACAACAGCAACCTACCTTTGCTCCGTACGAGCCCCAGCGCGGCTCCATGAGCTTTATGCCACAACCGCAGCCTGCACCTGGACAGGAGAAACTACTGGACGCACTTCAAGTTCAGTCGCAGTTCGCGCACGTTTTAAGACTTCAGACGTCAAGGTCTTTCAACGGAAAGGACTTCTTCACTTGGTCGTTCGAGTTTGAGTTAATGATGGAAGGTGCGCAGATTCTTGGGTTCTTCGACGGATCCCTACCATACCCAACAAACGGCACACAGTACGAGAAGCAGCAGTACACCTATCAGTCAATGATGGCGTATACGATTCTATTGAGGAACATCACCCCGAACCAACAACAGAATATACGGTCTTACCGGGGATACGGCAACTCCGCCGAACTCGCATACAGCCACTTGAAGAACCTGTACCAAGCAACAGACAGCGTTAATCAGAGTCGGCTAATGGCGCAGTTGACAACAGTGGAAATGAAACCAGGCGAAAAGGGAATAGCGTATATCAGCCGCTGTCGCGAGTTGCGCGACAAACTCCTTCGATGCGGAGGGTCGATATCTGAAGACGCCTTCGTGACAGTCATCATCGGCGGCCTCGGTCCTCAATGGCGCGCCACAAAGGCCATTCTCCGAGCTCATGGGAGAATCTCCGAAGCAGCACTCTGCGCAGAAATACATGCCGAGCAACAAGACATGGACCTGCAAGAGGAACGGCACAAGAAGAAAGCATCAGTACCCGAATTCGCGTTTCACACTCAGCGACGCTACAACAACAACAACAACCGACAACAACCAAAGCCCGTACCTCCGTTCTGCCATCTCTGCAAGACGTCAGGACACCCGCGCACACACTGCCCGAATTGACAACAGTCAACACCGCCACAACGGCAGCTTTGACCCTCAAGCAGTCAAGTCGCCTCCACGCAAGCGAACCCCACAAGTCAACTGCAGTCCTCAACGACACCGCCATCAACACAACCTGCACAAGGAACAAGAAATATCGTCAGCTGCATGGCAAGGTTGTCAGACTCCTGCATCACTGAGTCACCGCCACACTACTCACCGGAAGAACAACTCGACAACACCACACCTCGCCGCGAGTCACTTCAACCGAATCCAACGTACGCAGCCATCGCCCAGAGCGAGCCATCCGGGAAAGACACCTGGTTCTTGGACAGTTGCTGCGGACAGCACATGTGCTCT